CCCCCCCCCCCCCAAGATCAATTTCCCGCGAGAACACGGGTCGGGAGCGCTTGCTTTTTCCGCCGTGCTGCAGCTATCGGCGGAGCGTGTCGTCATGCAGGGCATGAGTATCGCAAAGGCGGGTTTCAGCAGTTGGCGATGTGTTCCGCTTTATCCCCGACTCGAAACCTTTTCTTCGTGAGCGTGGCCTCTCCACCCCCCCCCCCCCCCCCCCCCCCCCCCCCCCCCCCCCCCCCCCCCCCCNGGCCTCTCCCCCCCCCCCCCCCCCCCCCCCCCCCCCCGCCGGTTTGCCTGCACCGCTGTTTCTGGCTGGCTCCCCAAAACTTCCAGGCCTCAAAGTTTTTGAAGAACCACACGCCGTACAGCGGAGAGGACCTCGTGTGGCATCCCGTCAGCAAGCAGATGAACACCATGCGGTGAGTGTCGTGTTGTGTCGTGTGAATGTACCTTTTTTGTGTCCGTCGGCACAGGGTGACGTGTGTGTGCCTTGTTTTGGGTATTGTTGTTATTGTTGTTTCTCACATTAGATATGGTCCGTGACCACGGAAGGCGTAATTAGTTGGACTGGTTCATACGGTTTCTGTTGCGTTGAGAAGCGACAACAATAACATCAACAACGAGGGCGAGTCGGCAGGCATGTGCGGGCCAGATAGTCGCGGCACAGGGAGAAGGGAAAAGAGACGGATGAAAAGTCCCCCGCTCGCTCGCATGTCCTACTGCTGTGAGCGAAAGGTGGGTACAGCATGCACACACGTGATGTCTTTTCTACCGTCCGCGCGGCGTTGCTCTCATGTCTCATGGCGGAATCTTTGGGACGCGAGTCTCGACCTACAACAAGCCTTATGTATTATATGTTATATGCTCAAGGGTGAAATCATTGACATCGATCCCCTTTCATCCCCCCCCCCCCCCCCCGGAATGCCAGGTACGATGCCGAAGACTGCAGCGCAGCGATAGAGCTCAAGGAGCCTGCCAAGCCCCTCCCGGCGATTACGACTTTCTTCAAGAAGAAGGAACCGCATGAGCAGCAGCAGCAGCAGCAGCAGCTTGCGTCACCCGGCCGTCGCGGCGGCGGCGGCGGTGGCGGCGGCAGCAGCGAGAGCCGCCGGGGAACTCAGAAACGAAGGTACCTCGACATGTCGGACGGGGACGCGACGCCGCCCGAGAAAAAGGCGGCGGGGGTGTCGTCCTCCGTGTTTTCCGCCACGTCACCCCCTGCGACAACGGGTTCGGGTGCCGCCGCCGCTATGGCCAAGGTCTTGAGAACGGGCGCCGGCGCCGGCGCGGGCGGCGAAAGCGAAATCGAGGGAGTATGGGGAAGGCGAGGGGCGGGGATGGCGTCAGCGGCTCCCCTGAACCCGAAGGCATCCAGCAGCCCCGGGCCGCCGGCCGCGGGGAGCGGCAAGAAGAAGGCGCGAACCGCCGCCGCCACCGGGAGCCCAAGCCCGAGAAAGGGGAGTTCCAAGGCGGCCGGTGCTGCAGCTGCCGCCGCCGCCGCCAGGAACAAGAGGCAGTCGAAGCTCACGGCCTTTTTCGGCACGCCATCCAAATGAGAGCAGCTACGATACACTGCACCTTGATATTTGTGTAGCTGTTTGTTTTTTGAGGGTTACGCGTAATATGTCGTTGCACCTTCTCTCATTGTTGTGTGTGTGGTTGGTTTTCAAGAGTATCTGCGCACTCATCCTTTGGGGAAAGTCTTGTTTTCCCCGTTCTAGGATGTACTGCCCCGTTGTTAAGAGAGTTGTCGGTGTTTTAGTATTTATTGGTGAGGGTTTGTGGTGTTTTTTGTTTTGGGTCCGTTTGCATCTGCCGGGTGGTGTTGTGGTATTTCGTAGTTCTTCGTTTTATTTTGCCATGTCTCTTGTCCTTTGGGGGGCTGTGCTTGTGTTTGCAGTCCATGTAGACATGCATGGCATGGCATGTCATGTGTATGTAACCTTGGTTGCGTGTATCTGCTGCAGTTGGGCGGCGGAGACCAAGAGGAAGAGTGCGTGGGGAACTTAAATCCTGGTGGTGTAGGCGTAATGGAATGCTGTGTTCATTTTTCGCCGGCTGATCCGGTGGAGAAAATAGCGCCGATCGTCGCGGCGTTGTCGTTTGAGCAACAAATGCTCCCTTCGTGCCGTAGACCTTGATCCCTAGTGGTAGTGTGGGAGACAGGCTGGCTGGAGATAGAGAAGGAGAGAGAGACACACGAGGGACTAGAGTTTTGCCGACCTCATCCATCCGTGTTCGAAATTATACCATAGACTAGACCTCCAAGGACTTCGTTCCACTTGTAGTAGACTACATTTTCTCGATGTATATATCGGTTGACATTCCCATGTTTGAAGTAATTTATCACCCCTTTCACGGGGTTTGATTGTGCGTAGAGGGGAAGCGTGCACAAAGGAGAGACACGCATAGAGACAGAGAGGGAGGGAGAGAGAAGGAGGGTCACAAGAGCAGCGGCCTATTTTTAGGAAGAGATCCAAAAGGCGAGGTATGTAGCCATGGCGCCGTGGGTGTAGGGTCTGACGTGTGTCAATGAAGCGCTCAATTTGTCTTGTCTATCGTCATGTTTTTCTGCGGCGAGGTGGGTTCTGTCCTCGCTCGACAAAGCGATCTACGACGACAGGAGGTGCTACAATAGCTGTCTGTTTAAGCGTTCTCTGCTATAGTCTACTAGCTATTTCGGCGTTCTCGGGGGCGACATAAAATGTCGGCATGTGTGTGTACACGAGTGGCGACGGCATGATAATGTGCTCGTAAGGGCCAGACATTAGTCTACACCCTTCGAAACAACGCTCTCTTGAACGAAACGGGGTTCGCAGGCGGAGGAAGTGCATCCACTCCCTAATGGGAAAACGCTGAACACGAATGACATTCACTCCAGCACCCCGAATACCCCTCCCCCTTCGCGACAAAAATTAACTGTGCAAATGAAGGCCCACGAGGAGGGAATGTTCAGAGAAGAGCGCTCTTGTCGTCCCCGCCCGGCCCCCGCCAAGTGACTTCCTTCAGTTCTCTTCTCCGCCGAAGCGGGGCTGAATAACGAACGCCAGAATGAATGCCAGCGGAAATAAAATGTCCGAACCTTGTGTGGAAATCCGTGCGTGCGTGGCGATCGTGCCCCATTATTTCTGGACGTCGCAATCGTTTTACACACTTGTTTGTGAATGTCTCTGGAGGCATCATCAGCCGAAGTCCCTCCACAGGAACAGGAAGGTCACACATTTCCCTCGTTTTTTTTTTTAAAAACAATTTTTGCCTGTACTGCAGTTGCATTATTTTTTATCGCTTGGGCGAAACTCAGTTCATCCACCCCCTGTCCCTCGTCGGGCGTGGTCTCCGTGTGTTGCGTACACAAGATGAGTCAATCGCTTTCCAAGCAGAAAATTTCTTGCCGCCTTTCCTTTCCTCTCTCTCTCTGGAGCATGTTGTGAGAATAAAGAGGCCCACTTCGTTCGACTACAACGAGGTCCAAACGCACAGCCCCCCCCCAAATATCAGGTGGCGTGGTTACCACCTGAGCCGCTCAGGCACATGAGCTTCTCTAGCTGGCTGGCAATACACGCATTGGTACACGTCTCCCGACAGAGACAGATCCAAGATAAGGTACAGTCGACCCCGCTTTGAAGACACACATGGCTCTCTTGACACACATGGCTCTTTTGTTGAAAAACATTAGGAAAATCTCTTCACGTGCGCATACACTAGATCACTAGCCAAGCACGGTTCGTGTCAACGATGGACATGGCACCTGTCGCAAAAAGTCAAAAATGGTGGAAGCCTCCAAAATACGCCAAAAGAGGGCGTGAGAACGACGACCCGTGAGCGAAACGCCTCCAAAACAAAAACAAAACAAAACGAAATCATGCCAACAGATACAACAAATAAAGAGATTTCCCCGCCTTGTGAACTGCTGTAGCACAAACAACCCTGACATGACATCAGTCAGTCAGGTCTCGTTGCCTTTTCCCTCTAAACAAGAGAATCGGGCGGCAATCTACAACAGCAGCCAGCACCGTGATCGCGCCCAGCACGAGTAAAGCCCTGTCTCGTGAGCTTCAAATACATGACTTGAAAAAAAAAACTCAAAATAAGCGCAGAATTATTTATCCAGGAGAGGGTGCGCCCTCGCGCCCCTCGCTGCATAAGAACTAGACTTTCACCACATCCTTCGAGCGGGGTAAATTCTCGAACGAACGAACGAATGCTTGCCTTTTCTTTTGTTGATACTCGACAA